TGTCTGGTGAGAAGCAAAACAATCCTTTGTATACAATAGTTTTAGTTTTGTAAAATTAAATTCATCCACGATTCAATTCAATAACTAATTCCTCCGTGGATGATAATAGACATTCACAAAAATTAAGTGGGCACACGTGAAATCCTCATTGTGATCCACATCTCAATTACGTTAACATAAGTTACTTTAATTATGCTTATTTTTATATAATTATCATTGATTTTAGTTTATAAAATTAAAGAAAGATCCCTGAAAAGGAAAATAAAATGCAAAATTTTTGGATAGATATATTGCTTTATTGCTTACTTAAGAATTTACAGGTTACAGATCAGTCTGTAACTCTCTCTGACTCTTTACAATTTGTTATATTAGATAAAAGTTTCTAATCTCTGATTATTCCTAACCAGATTTGAAGTTCTGTGAAAAATTTTAAAACTTACTACCAATAAATTTGAATAATGAGTATAAAAATTACATTGGTTTTATTGTATTGATGTGTACTGTGTAAAAAGCACAAAGATTTTGGTATAATGATAAAAGGTATCAACATAAATTAACTCATTAACTTGTCAGGGGGTCTTTAATACACTTCACTTATCACTCTCTCCTTATCATAAACTCTATTGTTGGTATGATAATAAACAAAATTAAAGCAGAAGGAAGGACCTACCAATGCTCTCATTTGTAGAATATATTTATTTAAAAAAAGAATTATCTTACAAGTTACCAAACAAGAAGCTAAATGAATGTTATCCCTCCTTCATGTCTTATGTGGTTCTATAGCTTATAGGTGCAAGCATAATACAATAAGGCCTACCATTAAAACTTGTTCTTGATGCAAATAAAGAAAAGATAGAATTCCCCCATTTCTTATTCTTACTTGTAACAAGTGTTTGAAGTACCTTCCTTTGTTTTACTGAAATGAAAACAAAGCAGAAACGTGGTTCCAGCCCTCCTTTTGCTTTTAATTCCAGATTGAAGCATTAATTACTAAATTCACTTAGTAAACATCCCATAAAAGACAAGTGAATTACCATAAGAAACATCTATAGAATATTTTATCCAATATTTTAGATGATTAGAGTTAATTATGATAAAATAAAATTACATTTTTTAAATAATCTTAATGATTTCAATATTCTTAATACTGTATTGTCTTATCATCAGATAAGACAGTAACAAGGATTAGTGTTGATATGAATAATTTAAGTATTAATTAGTTATGAAATGATCTTGAATCTGTTACTGCAGGAGTTCATCAACCCTGCCATTTTGATATTGATATAGAAGTAGGATATTGGTATCTATCCTTTAGATAAATGGTCAATCTTTGTTACTGTTTCACAATCACTATTAAATTATCTATAAATTAAGCTTAAGTTATTTATTTTTTTACTTTAAATCTTTACTTGTAATAATCACTGAATAGTTTTATATCAGGGTTCTTAAGTAACAATTTGATTTCTTTAAAAGTGCTTGTTTAAAATGGGTTAAACTCACTCGATATATTAATCACCATTTTCTCGTAAAATTCGAAGAATTTTATAAAGTTTCTCAGTAAATATCCGGCATTCAACGTAGACAATTTATTTTAATAAACTATTTTTATAAACTACGTACCAATTTTTTGTAAAATGTACATATATTATAGTATGTTTTTAGTAACGAGTATTTAAATGTGAATATTTTGTTTTATTAATGGTCTTATTGTTCTATATTAAAAATACATTTGTTTTTATAATTATTTATTACTATTTAATAATAAATATTTAATTTTAACAGGCTACAAGAGCAGCAGGGTTACTTTTATGTATTATATATTTGACATCACCAAAGACTTTTTCTCAAACAAATTTAAAGAATATTCATTTAAAAGGTACTTTTTTAAAATATTAAATAGAAAAATTTATTATATAAAATTCTAATTTTATAATTTATATATTTATCTTTTTAGTTATAAAGTTTGTTGTACTAATGTGTACTGCGGAATGTTCCATTGTATTTATTGTCAGCCTTTTATTAATATGTGGCATTTTGATGGTAAGATATTTTGTAATTTATTCACAATTTACAGAGACTTTTTATTCATTTTAAATGTATAAAGTGTCGTAAAACCATTATCAAAATGTTCTTCTCGAAAAAACAATCTTGCAAAAGATCTTTCCCATGCAGCGCTACATTTAGACTGACTGTACTATAATATATGAGGCCCTTCTACCAAGATATTAAGAAATTTTGAAGGCCCTAAGCTTTAGCGTCTTCTGACCGCTGAAGCTGTAGATCTAACTTGTTTAGTTTACGTGTAAATAAATCGCCATATAAGACTCACCAATGACTGTATAAATAAAAACCACTGAATGGTAATTGGTGATGGTTTGCGCCTCACCAATAGGCTGGCCATTTGTAATTTGTCAGGTCTTTTTCACGTGTTTTTCATTTAAATAGAACCAGTTTCCTCAATTACTCCAGAGGCTTCCTCCTTGACAGTCCGTTTAGTGTTGAGTTGCCTTGTTTCATCAATCCGATCCTTCTCCATCCGAGGCCCGTTTTTCTTTACCAAATAATAGTAAATCTTTAACACGTCAGCTAGAGCAGCTAGCAATATGTGAGCCTTAAGTTGTAACTTGACTTCTCCCCTATAAGTTATTCCCCTTTTTACAGATGTAAATCCGGCGCAATATAAGTTCGCATTTCCTCTTCTACCAAATAACATTAATTAAAGCCTGGGCTTTGTAATGCCTAAACTATTGTTTGCTCAACCCATGCGTAAATCTGCTTCTATATTACTACAAATCGAGCATAAGTATTTAAAAATAAGACCACGTTATCGATTATATATGAATTTTTCTTCAGAAAAAGAAATACTTATTAATTCCATGGTTAACTTGGACCTTTTTGGAAACAGCCTGCTGCTTACTCGCTATAATACCTCTCATGATATTTGCAGTTAAAGGATTAGTAAGTGTATTTATTTTCATATAAAGTTTCAGATTTAAATTTATGCCCACTCTAAAAATAATTTTCAAAAATAGCCATGGTATCCTGTTGTCATTTGGGTATGTTTCGTAGTCCCTCTCATATCCTTGCACGTAAGTATGAATTTACAATTGGGAATTATCTAAAAGACTCGAATATTTCTAAAGAATTGATTATCTTCTTTTAGAGATCGTGTGCAAGCTTCGTTGCCAGCCATTATTATACCTTATCTGAAAGGAGGCATCTACCGTTAAGTGATATTATAATCGGAAAATACGGATCTTTAGTCTTGACTGATACATAGGGTTTCACGTAATCATTTGTTTTAATGAAACAACCAAGAACTATAACTTACTGTATTCATTTCCTGATATCTGTACATATTTTCAGAAAGTTTAAGGTAATTTATTGTACAAATGTACAATTTTTGTACATAGTTTCATTGTGTTTATTTTGTTTTTGCTTAAAATCAAATCTGATAGATTTGTTTATTTTTATCGATTTTCTGTATCAGAATATGTTTAATCTGTATTCAAATAAAAGTTTTTCAAAAAAATTGTTGATTATTTTTTGTGTATATTTATATTATTTAATGGATTTTACCTAATTGATCCTTGATGAACAATAGACCCTTTGGGCGAGATGTTTCAGGCTTTTGTCTCTCCTACTTACATAACATAAAATATGGCAGATGCAGAAAGAGGACCAATAGAAGTCATTTGATTGACCTCTCAGATACACAGAATTATAAAAATTTAGTCTTGATGCAAAAAACAACCTACAAAAGTGATCCAAAATTATTAGTCCATTGCCACGAAGATATAATTCGATTTAAATTCTAAATGGCCGAATGGATAAAACCACTAAACACTGCTTAGTCGGTTGCTGGTTCCTACATCNTATTTAGACGATTAGTGAATGAAAAAACATACAAATGCGACTAAACCCTGTAAAATTCTTATTTGCCTTAATATAGTTGAAATATTGCGGTAATTTTAATCATTTATTGTACAATAATATATTAATAAAATGCCATCAACAGCAACACTGCATACTGTAATTCTATTGCACAGATGGCGAGTCAAATATAGTTATTGACATTAATAATATTATTTTTTTGCCATATGATAATTGAAAAGCTTTACATTAGTTGTATATGTCAACACGACACTGAAGAGAAGTGCCACTCGGGAGAAGTTTAAATGGATAACTGATTCCTATTTAGGTGTTACAAACGTGAAGAAAACTCGAAAAGTTCTACGTTGTCAGCCTGTCGGCGAGGCGCAAACTGACGAAAAGCTACAAAAATTCAGTACTTTTTCCACTCAGACACAGGTTGGCAGCTCTAAAATACTATCAATCCTGTTCATTGTGGGTTGAACCATGCCCATAATAATAGGTATGTTTCAATTTACAATGATGAGGGACTGGGCTCAACGTATCTAAGATAGATCTTTCATTAAAATTCTTGGAAAGTTGCTTGCCCGGATTCCATTCTAATTTCTCCAGAGAGATGGGCCAAGACCTTTACTGCCATAACCATTACCCTTTATTACACAGGAAATAATTAAAAAATAAAAAATAGAAAATAAATTAATTCGAATCGTTTAAATCCGGCATAAACAATATGCGAAATCTAACGTTAAAATTCTGCCACAGCTTTCATAATTATACAAGCTATCAGTTAATTAATAAACTCGATAGTTAAAAAGTTAATTATTTATATTAAATTAAATATTTATCGTCAAATCAAAAATTACGCTAATAAGATTATGAAACAACACGTTTATTTTGTAATCATGTTGCGTAATGGAATGATGGCGGTTATATAAGAAACTGTTTATATATTAAAGATTTTAATATATGATAATTCTTTCAAGATTAATAATACCATAAACATTCTATAATTTTATATAAATGAAAACAATAATTTATTTAACATTTAAGCTAATTTTAAAAATAAAATAATTTGAATATTTATAGTGTCAGACGTAAAATGTAAGACTGGCAACACTTTCCCAAAAACCACGTGTTTCTTATACTGTTTGTAATTTGGCGGTGGACAACGTGTTGTTTGTTTATTTAAATTTACATTTCAATTATAATGCATTTTATATAGCAGAATCGCTGAATATAGAATGCCGGAAGGTCCTGAAATATATTTAACGAGTTGTTATATCAACGAAGTTTGTAAAAATCGAATTTTTGAAGGATCTGTCGAGAAATCCGATGTCAACAAGAATCCAGACATACCTTGGAACTGTAAATATCGCATTTCTGCCACTTCTCGTGGTAAAGAATTGAAATTAAGTTTAATTCACGTGAAAAATGTCAAAAAATTAAACATATTAATGAGATTTGGTATGACTGGAAGTTTCAAGTTCACTGATGCTGACAGTTTACCTAAACATTCTCACTTAAGGTATTATCCTATGTGTTTTATCTTATATATTTTGGTAAATAAACATAATAATCAAATATCAGAAAAGCTGAAATTATGACTCAATCTTATCAGAACATCCACTTGAATTAACTTTTCTTTTGATAACAATAACCTACAAATTGTCAATAGTCTTGGTATAATATTCGACCCCAATCTCTGTCAGAGTATATATATATAGAAGACTTGATTTGAAAAAATCTCCATGTGCTGGGGTTGCTTTGGCATAACTCTAAATGGTTTTGAAGAAAAATATGGTCCGTGAAATATATTTTTGATTATGCATTACCTGTATGGGCCTCCACTTTCTCGTCTCTTGCCAACAAACTCGGCTCTAAACCTGCTAAAATATTTTTTATTATATTATAGTATAGATTTTAATGAGTATGTTAATTCTTTGTTATGTGGGGATGGGCAAATATTGTCTTAGAGACATTGCCAGTATTGCAAATAAATAAGCATTGTAGAATCATGCAGTAATAATTAATGAAGTTTCATAGACGCTTCCTTAGTTTCCAGAAGGTTTAATTTGTAGGTTTTGTGACAGAAGTTTCATAATTTGCAGGTTTTATACGAGTAATAAAAAATCGCCTAAGGTTCTAAGCTTCGTGGATCCTCGTAGATTCGGCAAATGGGAAATAAGTGACGAGTGGTCTTCGGATCGCGGTCCTGATCCGATGTTTCAGTATGAAGATTTCAGGTAAAGTAAGGCTTTCGAACGATTAAATATTTTATTAGATTTTTGTTTCGGAAGTCAAATAAATAAAACTGTAATTTTTGTTATATAGGAAGAATGTTTTGTTAAATTTGTCCCAATCAATTTTCAGTAAACCTATCTGTGAAGTATTATTAAATCAGAAATATTTTAATGGAATTGGAAATTATCTGAGGGCTGAAATACTATACAGGTAGAATATTATTATTTATTATATTCTAATCAATTTAGAAATGGTATTTATTAATAAAGATGGCAAGAGGCAAAAGAAGCAAATTTTCTTGGGCTCTTAAGTAGTAGGGCCCTATACAATTTTTTTTTCTTGTTTACTTCTTTTACTTTGAAATAATAATTTAATTTACTATATAGGCCCTATATTTATTTTGCCCCAGATCTTTGTTATCCTCTGGGTAGCTCTTTTCTTGTTAATATAGTTTGTGTAGAACCAATGATACTTGCAGTAGCCACGGTGGAGTTTCTTTTTAAATCCTTGCTGGATGTTTGATCTGAATTTGGATTCAGTGAAGGAAGAAAATATATTCTATTATATTCATGATATATATATTTTTAGAGCTCAAATTCCACCTTTTGATGAAGCAAGAACAGTTTTAGAAACTTTAAATATTTCAGAAGATAATGCAGAAGATGATATATTGCATCTTTGCAAAATCATTCCTTTAGAAGTTGTCAACTTGCACGGTAATTTGCAAACTGGATTTAGTAATTGTTGTAATTTAAATGACTGATTTTAATTTGTAAGAATCAGACAAAATTTTGTCCAAAACAATCCAAACTTTCTTGTTTTGTTTATTAGGAAATAAATATTTGGAAGATTCTGAAGATTTCTATTCCTGGTTACGCTGTTACGAGAATAAAAACATGAATACTATGAAAGACAGCAATAATCGTACGATATGGTTCTCCGGTGAGCCCGGATTGTTAGCTTCACGACTAAGGGATAAAAGGTAATTTATGTGAATTTCGTAACCAAATTTTACATTTTTAAAATAAGTTAATAAAACATGGATGAGAAGTTATATTATTTAATATAGTAAAAATTTAATGCTATCATTGCAATATCTTATCATCAGTTTGTTTTAATTCTTTTCATGTTGTTGGCACTATGAGGGCATTTTTAGCAAGGTTTGGCAAGTTGAATTATCAAGCAATAGGGTGGCAAGGGACACTGAAAATTCATGGGTTTTTCAACCTGTCCAGATTTGGTCCCGAGTCCCACAGAGCAGTTAACTGCCATCTTTAATTGCTCAGCCATTGACTGTCAGCATGAGTGATTAGGAATGATGATATTCGTTCATTCACAATATTCTTTGAAATGAAAATTATGATTAGAGTTTGGATATTAGGTATTTATATGAGTTTTATGTGTATATGTCTTAGTTCTAATTAAAATACATACTGAGTTAGTAATAATCAAATTTATTTAATTACTCATAATGGATATAGTATGATAGCTACTGAATATTTAAAATTTATCTTTTGAGTTGCATTTAAATTTATACAATGTACACAATTAATTGCAGACAGAATATAATCATTTAGTGTCATTTTTAATTACCTATTGTAACATTATTTCATACCAGAGAGTGTTCTATATGTAATTTACCTATTTGTGTGTAGTAAATGTTGATAAGTTAAACTGCATTAACTCAAAGCTGTCTACAGATCAGGATTTTTAATATAATACAGTCCCGTTAAGTCAAAGTTGTCGGTACTTTTAACTCTGAACCTTTTTTCTATGTACTGTCCACCCTTTGATGGGTGTGTGATCTCCATATTCTCTTATATAGCTAAAAATAAGTTAAATAATATGGCTCGTCATTGTACGCAACACCATGCCATTATAAACTTGCATGAACATCCTCCTACTGATACAGTAGGAGACAGTACCAATAACAGTAAATTTATAGCCCTAGAACTTGAGTAAATTGGGTATTAAACTCTTCAATTCAAGGTTTACTGTTTATACTGTAAAAGACAACTTGAGCTTAAGATTACATTAATAATAAGCCGAACAAACTGCAATATTTTCAGGTTATAAGAGAATTCTAAGTAACATAACAAGCAGTGTATGTGCATGGTATGCAGAGTTAAGTTGGATAAATCTTTTCTTTCAGAATATCCTAAATTATCAAAAATCAAAGTAAATTTTAAATTATTGTCATAAGATGGTGGCAAAATTGCCGATCATCTTTAGGTCAAATTAATCTTTTTCTAACTTGAGAAATGCTACATGTAACATTATCTTTAAAACATTACAAAATATCTTGGTGAACATTTGTTATGATTACATTCAGATTTTAAACTATTATAATTAGCTATTCATTTTATTAATGTTCTTTTATATAAACACTTTTCAGCTCTCTTTGCAGTCTATCAAAAATGGTTATGATCCCATGTTAGCAATGGTTTTTGTATTCCTGAAGATGGGTTGAGAGGTCTAAAGTATAGATTGAATCATTACAATATAAATTGAATGTTTCTAAATTGAATATCCCCTAAAAGGAATCAAACCTTTGCGATAGAAGTGCAATACAATTCCGAAAATCTATATTGTACTATATTGTGGTTTTGTACTCATGATGTCAAGCTGCAAAGTATAAAGCACTCGGGATTAATAGATATTTCACATTTTGGTGTCTAAGGAAATAAATCACGTGACTTTTAACTTCGGTATACACTTTGTTACTAAATTACAAAACTTATATTTTTTTGAAATTACTTCAAATTTTAAAATAACACAAGCTGGGTCTGGGTCTAGGCCTTGGTAATTAATACTGGCTTCCTAATGTACTTAATCCATCAATGGTTGAGTGAATAAAATACTGGTAAGTTGATTGAAGGTTTATATCTGAACAATGGACTACTCACAAGTTTTGTGGGTTTCTTCACATATCTAACTCCTAAATAGGGTCAGTTTCCTATAGAAAGTCCTATTGAATGTATCCCTCCTTGCCAGATTGTCCAAGTGTTGCGTTGCCTTCTTTCATCAATCTGTCCATCCCAAAATGCTTAACTGCTTAAATGCTTGTCTTATCTGATATCAGATAAGGATATAATCTGAAAATACTGAAAATTTTTGATGCTGTATAGTGCCAAACAGTAGAGATTTTCATATGCAGTTATTTGAGATAATTTGACGAGCAGATTTCTCAACAGTGTCCACGGATCCCTGCAGGTCTGTGAATATGGCGATGGGGATTCTCGAGTTCATAGACAAAAAAGAATCATTATATTGTGCAAATTAAAAAAGTGATTCTTGTAATTTTTACCTTTATTAAAACACACATTAAAGTTTAAATTAAAAACATATAAAATCATTTGAGTTAAATGAAAATGTTTAAAGCACAGACAGTATTTTAATAAAGATAGTCTGCGAAAAGTTTTCTTTTCACTTTCTGTTATATTAAAGGGGTCTACTGGAAAGTGAAGGTTGAGAAACACTATGTTAATGCATGCCCTTGGGGTATTTTGTACTTATGCAGTATTATAAATTTAAGAGAAAATCTGTATACTCTTAATAATCTAACATTGATAAAAAAATTTTGAAATATTGTAGCTCTCACAATTTACCATATACAGTCTCAATTTGAGGGCAGATGTTATGAACTGAGAAAAAAGGTAACATAGAATCAAAAATGATAGATGATAATAATTTAAATATAGGCAATAATTTTGCCAGAACAGGGCACAAACTAGTTTATTAAAAAAACAGTCTCTGTGGAACATTGAGGCACTGGTTTCACATCTTGACTGGGTGAGTGGTGACAGCCTCCTAGAATGAGTTTGATTGCCATTTGAACTAGTTGATTACCTCCCATATAAAGTCGTCATCCATTATAAATTGCCATCTCTATAGATTTTTTCCAAGCGGCCCAAAGATGTGGTAGTCGTATGACAATGTGGCGTGACTATGTGGGATGAGAAAAAACCTTTTACGAACAACCCCACAGTCTAGTGAGCCTAAACTGACATTTACTGTTCCCCAAATTAAAATGCTTTGAGGGAGCCAATTCTGGAAATCAAAGTGGCTGAACAGAAGGAACTTAAACACCATTTCAAAAGAACCTCTCATGAGGCTATAAGTAAATTTGGGTGTAAAAATTTATATAGATCATGGAAGAATGTATTTTGAAGAGTGATACTAAATATAATAATTTCTGCCAAAAACATTTTTTTATTATAAATTCAGTCCCTGAACTGAATGGATGAACTGAATTGGAGGTCTGTAGTGGCAAAATTGGTGGAATGCCGGTGCATTTGGCATGTGATGACACTGGCTCACATAACACCAATGTTGTTACTTTAGTCCTTAACACGTTAACCACCATGTGATGCGCCAGCAGTCGTAGTATTTAGGGCCGTTCAGAGCCATACGACCACCGGCGGTCGGAGCCAACTTTATAGATGTGCACGAGAGGCCACCACTAGGATGCAAAACAACGTCTTACAAAGCCAGGATAATTTAACCTTGAGTGAAACTACATTGGTTATAGCGACATCGGGCACTCGTATGGCTCCATACGGCCATAATTAGTATCACCACCGGCATGTCTGATAGTGGTTAATGTGTTAAGTGCTGTCAATCGTTCAACGAATGATGTGTTTGTTGTATCTTTATAAGAAATGCCATAATAAATGTTTGTTAATAAAAACAATTTTATTAGTTTTTAATTCAATATTTATTTCCTTCAAAAGTTTTGCAATTTATATTGATTAATATAAACATTTTGTTTAATTTAATTAGGAAAAACTCTACGAAAAGCAACAAAGTAACCGAAACTAAGAATCATAAGAAACGTTCAAGAAAATAGATTTTTTTTTTTAAAGATATTTCAAAATGGAAATGTATCCTCCATGTAAGGATTTTTATTTACATGTTATGTTTAATAAAGTTTATATATTTTGGCAAATATAAATATAGAAGAATTTAAGTTTATTTTATATCCATTTTAACTCTTTATGCCCTCTGGGCACTAAGCAAGCCCATTATGGGAATTCCCATGAATATTTAACAATAGCTCAATTTGTTGTATCTGATCTGTTATGATTAAGTAAAATAGGTCAAAAATAGGGAAGTCATAGCAATTATTATAATTTTTATTTATGGCTGTCAATCCACATAAACATTGATGTAATTAGACATTTGACAAGATTGCTTACACCAGTGATTCTCAAAATGGGAGTCGCGACCTCCAAGGGATCATGAAAATTATTTCGGGGGTTGCAGGAAAATTGATGACGGATCAATTTTTTCAAATATTTTATAAATTTACTATGGATTCATGTTTAGAAATAGTAGATTCTTTTTGGCTTAGTGCGAAAGCAGAGTATCCACTACTCTCTGAATTATGAATTGGCAATGGCAGTTCTCTTACCAATTGCAACCACTTATTTATGCAAAAATGGCATTTTCAGTAATGACCAACATCAAAACAAAGCAGCACTCGCGTCTTTGCAACATAGAAATCGCTATGAGACCTGCACTGACTGATATTAAATCCAGGTTTAATTTATTGTGCCAAAATAAGCAGGCTCGCCTATCGCATTAAATTTAATTTAAAATATGTTGAACTTAACTAATTGAGTTTACTAATGTTGAAACATATACATAGAATATTTTGTTCAAAGATAAGATATTAATTTTTAATGATACTAAAAATAAATCTGATATTAAAATTATGAGTTATTAAATCTCGGCATTATAGAGAGCTAATGGACATGCGCGATCGAATATCTGAAGATTATAGAACGTGCGTTGTTCGAATTACCGTTGAGAAAGTTCAAATTTTTAAAATAGTTTACATCAATCCTGAAGAAGGTCTATAAATTAGACCGAAAACGTTAGAGAACTAGCCAAAAGTAGACTGCATTTTAAAGGTATAGTGGAATGTAGTAAAATTATGAGTGTTTCAATGCAATTAAACAAAAGAAATTAACTCCTCCTGAATTTAAATTAATCCCCTCCCTTTGGGATGTTTTTCTACACATATGCATTCTTCAGGGGTCCTTTGAAATTTTTAAGTGCAAAAGACGGGTCACGGACCAAAAACTTTGAGAAACACTGGCTTACACAATCCTGTAAAATGAAACAATGACACAAAAAACTGTGGCCATCTTTATATCATGAGGCAGCAATAGAAGAAAGAGTAGAAATCAAATGATTTTTGGAGCTTTTATCTAACTGTGCTGTATTGAAATTTGCATTACAACTGTTAGAAAACACTACACTCTTTCAGGATTTATCAAGTTATTTCAGCAGGTTTAGAAGTAAGTGAAGAGCATATGTAGCAATAGAAAGAAATGTAACCTGTGTATGAGTATTAGTAAACTGTGTATTAGTAAACTCAATTAGTTAAGTTCAGTATGAAGTGAAAATGGTGAGCTGATGTGTGATGAATTTGAGGTGCATAATAAGTGGTGTGAATGTTTTGAAGGGTAATGAATGGAGGAACAGTTGCAGAGATAAATGAAGATAGTGATGGATTCAGGGCCAGTGTGACCTTTTGTGGGGCCAGATTACATTCAAATCCTATACTTAAATTTCACAATAAGGAATTATTTATTATAAGTACAAAGGATGTTACATATATTTTTTGTAAGTTGAATATTACATAATTTTTCTTGCTTTTTTTGCCACAAAATCTTTGATTACATCATCAAAATTGATTGAGTTTGCCACTTTGCTTTCTATTGAAAGAATAGACAGAGATGTAAATCAGTCTTGGCTTATTGATGATCAAAAATAATTTTTTATTAGTTTCAACCGTGAGAAACTACGTTCAGCTGAAGCCACAGTTACTGGCGTAGTTAACAATATTTGTAAAGCAATTAATAAATTTGTGTATGCTTCTGAAAGATTGTTTTTTATAATGTATTTCATCACATCTAAGAGCCAAATAATTGGCTTGCATTATCAATCAGAACATCTTAATATCTTCAAACATTTCAGTTCCGTCGATATCTTTTTCCAAATGTAAGTGAAGATCTTGACAACATTTTAATAAATATTTGTCATCTAAATTCGCAATCTCATTCATATATAGAAAGCCATAAATATTTTGGTGATTTGCATATAATTCAAATCTACTTTTAAATGATACTAATGCAATATCTATTATTTTAAAAAAGTAATGTATACAGAAGTTGCAGACGTGCAACATTTGAGGTCAGCATCTGCAACAAAATATTTCAGTTTAATTAAAGATGGGAGAGAAAATCTTGCACTCATGTCAGTGTGCAGCAAGTTGTCATCGATTAGTGGATTATGTGATTGCTTTTTCCACACACACCCGAATATTCAATCTACTATAGAGGGGGTCCTGCAAAATGTCTGATGAGTTTTTGTACACGCAGGGCAGGGTTCCGGCGAACGCGCTGAACCTGCCTCACACCGGCCCTGGATGGATGTAGCAGTATTCAACTGAGTGAGGTTAGGAATGCAATAAGAACAGTGCAAAATGGCAAATCTTGTCTGGATGGTGTGACTGCAGAAATGTTAAAATATGAAGGAAAAAATGTGGAAGGATGGATGCTGCAACTCTGCATCTTGTGTTGGGATAAGGGCATGATGCTATGCAAACTCAGAAATGCTGTGGTTGTTCCAATATAGAAGGGAAAGATGAAAGTTCTGTGCCATGAGCTTTCTGAACATATCTGGGAAAGTGTTTGCACAAATGTTGATTAACATAGTTGAGAAGCTGAGTGCAAAGCAAATATGGAAAGTGCAATGTGGAATTATGAAAGGGAAGGGTGTATGGACCAGATCTTCACATTGCAATGTTTGAATATGGTTTAAAAAAGTGTTCATAGTGTTTGCTGATCCAGAGAAAGCATATGATGTAGTGAATAGGGAGAAACTGTGGCAAGTATTATATAATTATGGAGTGAGAGATAAACTTACTTAGAGCTATGTATGAAAACAGCAAAGCATGTACAGTGGTGCCTCATATAACGTACTTAATCCGTTCCAGGTGCACATCCGTTAAGTGAAAAGACCGTTATACGAAACGCATTTTCCCATAGAAATACATGTTAAAACATATAATTTGTTCCAAAGCATAAAATAGTCGTACTATACCATAAAAAAAATGAAAATGGAGCAGTCACCAATTATGCCAGGTAGTCAGATGTTGTGAGGAGGAGGTGGAGGAACACTTTCTTTACACATTCATACAGATATAGACTTTTTACACATTGCAGCAGGTCTCTTTTTATTGGTTTTTTAATCGGAGTCGGATTCAGGAGAGGCTACCGGAGCTTGCAGGGTCATCTCCTCTTGTTCCATCCTTTGTTTTTTGGCAGCTGGCTTCTTGAAAAAACATGTCCAAGGTGGTCTGTTTCTCTCTCTTCTTCAACACCTGTCAGAAATGACGGGTAGTGTGTCATTGTAGAGATCATTGATCCTGTTGGCATCGGCTCTGTTTGGATAATGAGTGTTGGTAAACTCCTTAACCTCTCCCCATATGACAAGGAAGTTTTTGTCAACTTTCACTCTTTCTGGTGATGTCTTGCTGTTTCAATTGAAATCACCTTTCTGTTTTTTTAGAAGCCATGATTTGCACAACACTTGAATAAATGTAAATACCCTGCACTGAGATGATGTACGTAATAAACAAGGGAGCAAGCCGAATCCCAATGGGAGCTGTGTACTTCAGATATACTAATAATATATTCTAATAATACTAATATATTATAAAAATAGCAGATTGTCATTGGCAACTGCAAAAGAGTGGAAACATCATTCGCACTTGTTCG